TTAACGCGATTAACGCATGTGTATTTTTTTTCCTTGGCCGCCCCGTAGTTTCAGAGCGCATCGAGTTTAAAATACCATCTACAAGCTGATGCTGACAGCCCCGCTCCTGTCGCCCGCTTTTGGCAGACCACACTTCCACGCTCACCGGCAGGCACCGACTGGCCATCTGGAGGGTGTGTGTATGTGTGGCCCGAGCGAGAGAGAGACCTTACGTGCATTGTTGTTGTTAGCATCTGGTGCTAGCTAGCTGCGCTAACGGATATGGAGCTGTTTAAATGAAAACAGAGGAGCGACATTTCGCCACAACTGCGCCGAGCACTTGACTTTATGCAGGAAGCCAGACAGTGGGACATTGTACGAAAAGTCAGCACACTCAGCACGGATAGTGCGCAACATGATTGCAGCGTCCAGGCAGCTCCGGTTCGAGCATATGCCTTGAGTTGCACATAGCTCCAACGCCCATACCACCGACGACATGTTTGTTTACTGTCCTGGCTTCACGGCCGCACACCATTTACGTCACAGCCAGGCATGAGTTAGGGAGCGCTGGATTTGTGAAGAACTCCCCTCTTCCTAAACCACAGTACTGGCAAAATGGGAGGAGCCGAGTGAAAAACAAGCGCCCCTCATCCCAATCCACCCACACCGCAGTATTTTTTTCTTTTTTTTTACCCAAAAAATATATTGTATATTATCGGGGCTATTAATACTGGTATCGGGTTTATCGGGATGACGTCATAATTCCTAATATCGGATCGATAATTATCGGACCGATAATTATCGTGCATCCCTAGCCTAAACATGTAGATTCAAACATAATACTATGAAATGTATGCACTCAAGATGCCTAGTAGTTTTGTTATGGCTAAAATAAAATGTTGACTTTTTTTTCTTACCTATGGTTCAACTCCTCTTCATCTTCGAACACCCCAAATGGTTTCATAGCATCACAGAGCTTCTTGGTGTACTGGTGGTCTATTTCTCGTGGGGGTGCAAGGCTGATGGCAGAGGTGATGCCATAATGTTTCTGAGGCTGCTGCCCACCAGGCATGGCGCTGCAAAAGAGGGAATAGGAGTCAAAACATGAAATGACAGCTACTACACGACACTGTCCATGTTTTCATGCCATTGTTTCTTGATTTCCATCTCAAGTAAATAACAAGGTTTCAAAGTTAAGACGAAGGAATGCATCATTCACATATTGTGAGTGCAATGCTTTGCTAGTTTGTGTTCCCCTGCTTTATATTATTACCGCGAACCTGTGTAAACGTACTGCAGCAATGTGCTTAACTTTGAAGTCAAAAGGGGAGCACGTTATCTATCAGAGGAAGACATATCCATGTTATCTGAACAAAGACTTGGAATTAGTCTGCAAAGCAAAACTGGGTGGATTCAGATAACAGTTCGTTGTACACAATATTGAATGATAATGTAAACTTCACGCAACAATAACAGTTGAGTGTAGTTTAATAATCTGTTCTTCATTCGACCCTAGTCTCGTTTAGGCATTGGATTAAAACATAGGATATGGTGTTTTTAGTTTATTCAATAATGTCAGGACCGTCCCGAACCTGTATTAACTTAACGAGTTTAGCATTTTAGTGTTTACTTAAAGAAACCCAAATCCAACACTACTAAACGACTGATTTAAATGAAGTATCCACCCCGGATTGCCCACCACAATAACATAACACCACGCGTGTTAATGATAGCATAGTAGTGAGCAATTCCAAATCTGAAAAGTGAGTTTATCGAAAATACAGGAATGAGTTTGAAGTGATTTACGTTAATGTTGGTATTCAGGCTGGCGGCGAACGAGCATTAGCCGAGAGGCTACAAACAGGTTGCAGGCGCTAACAAATTAGCTAATTTAGCAAGTTAGCAAACGTTAGCTTGCTGCTACGGAAGAATTTGTCTAACTAACGACTCGCTTTCCGGTTAGTCCTAATTAAGGGTTGACATTTTATCAAACAAAAACACGTGCAATCCGTTCATTTTAATGGTCATAGTCTCACCATAGTTAAGAAACAACAAACAAGCGCGCTAGCCAACAAATGGTGGCTGCAGGCCTTGTTTGGTTGTTGTGACAGTTGGCTAACGTTAGCCTTTAGCCTATTCTTTAGGACTCTCTTAAACGCGAACAAAGATGCTCATGAAAGGAAAATGTACCGTATGCATGACTTACCTTGACATTTCTTTCATGACACTCTAAAAAGCTTGCACTGTTTTTCTGCTGTAAACCCGTAAAAAACTAAGAAAGCCAGCAAGTGGAAATGATAACAGCCTCGACCTGATTACAACAATGGTCACTTTGGAGCAGTTCAAACCTTCCCACTGAACCGGAATCACTTCTTATAAAATAATGTATGAGCAGCACGCAATCCTGCGGGGATATTCATATCAAATTCATTAACAAAACGCACAGTATTTTTTGGAAGGTAGCACCTGACATGCGTTTAATAGCTATTGTAGACTTTTTCTTTACTCAAAACTACAAATGTAACGGCATTTGTGTTCGCGCAGCACGCTGAGCAACCATCGTCAGAAGGCAGGCACCTCCTATCACGTGACCACCGAGGCCTCCCTCAACAACACTTGCTCTCTACAAGCTAGCTGCACACACACTGCGCCGTGTTACACACCTGTAAACACGCTGGGTTTGAAGAAGCTAAATACAACATATGTCGAAACAATTATAATAAATAACTTAACATAAACGCTTACGTTGAATACTTAGCTGAGAGGATGCGTTGGTGAAATGTAGCAATATCATGAGAATGTCTGTCTGTTAGCTTGTGACAATTCAAATGTTGTGTATTTTAAACATTGGAACTGTCCAAGTCATACCATTGTTAAAATGCATAGATATGTTACATTTTCTTTGAATCCTGTCCCTGATACCTGTAAATAATAAGGAAAGATTGTAAGGCCCACATATGTTTTCTCTCCATGTTTTTTTGTGAGAATATGTGGGTTTGGTCTTAAATGTCTGACTATCATTTACTTTATCAGCAATGTTTATCAGTAAAGATAAAAAAGGAGTTGGCATTAGAAAGTTTGTGACATAGTGACACAGTGGAATGCATCTTACAATTAAGGTGCAAACAATAACTTAACAACAATATTAATCTATTTGTTGTAACAATACGTATTACAATATTGAAAACAAATTATTGGATAAAATGTCAATATTAGTTTTGAGGACAAAAGCATTTAAAAAAAAATATTTATAATACTTTACAGAGGCTATTATACGATAAGATACGAAATTCAGTAGTTCAAACAGCAATAGGGTAAGAATGAAAAACAGGACAGCACAGATTCACACAGATTAGAGATTAATACAATTAAAGATACAATCAAAGATACAAATACAATTATATACAGTTAAGTAACTTTAAAATAATAAATTAATTAAAATGAACATTTATACATATTTGGGTCCTATATATTATATATATATATATATATATATATATATATATATATATATATATATATATATATATATATATATATATATATGTACATGTAGGCTATGTGTGAAAACAGTGTTTATTTTATGTCCAGTATTTGTACTTATTATGATATTCTTTACTCCACAACATTTATTTTATTTTATTTATTTATACTTAATAGGTATAAATAATGAATGCAAAAACATTTTGGATAAACTTTGTTTGTACCCCTGATTCTGATATATTGTTGCTTACACTCAATTTGGAATGCAGGACTTTACATTTTAAGACAATATTTCTACACTATGGGATTACTACTTGTGAAAGATCTGCGTACTTCGTCCAACATTGTTGGCAATTTACTTTCAAAGGACTCTACATTTATAAAACCTCTTGCCTGAATACTGCAGCTATTTTGGTTCATGTGATCTTAGTCCATTGTCGATCCTACCATGGAGGCGTGGATCCTACAGATCCCGCCTACCTTTAATTTGGCGGGAAGGCCCTGCTAAAGTTTCCGGGTTTCTGAAGAATACACAGCTTTCATCTAATTTTACCAGAGAAAACAGCACCATCTAGTGGGCATTTTGAGGAATTACACTAGGTGTCAAAAATAACTTAAAACGTTTTGATCACCAACCTTAGTGACTTCAGTGTGACTGTGAACAGTCAATGTTCATAAAGGGAGTCATGGTTGGCTCAGTAAATAGTATTGTACACATTGTATCTGTGTGTTTTATTGCCCAATGTCAAAGTATGTAAACTGTAGTCGCTGTAAATATGCTGTATGATGTCCTTTTAGTTTTTCTGTTATGTTTTATATGTATTCATGTGGAACCTACTTGCAGCAGGTCACCCTTGAAAAAGAGATCAATGATCTCAATGGGATTCACCTGCATAAATAAAGGTTTGAAATGAAATTAAAGTGTTGATGTTCTTGTGTTCAGCCCTGTGTTAAACTATGTAGCCTATTGGCTTTTCCAATTTGAATTCATGACTGTTACAATGGATTCCTATATGTCTGCAGAGTCACTGCAGAACAAGGCTAAGTTACTTATTATGAAAGTGCAAGCAACCCTTCTTCTGTCCAGGGAATAGAAACCCCCACCTTTGGACTTTTCCAGCTTCTACATTTGAATGTCTTTTATCAGTCACATTGTTTACATTCCTCGTCAAATATGACGCATTATAAAAGATAAATCAATATAACACTGTGTTTTGAATCGCTTTCCGTGTCTTTGCTCATCATGATTTCATACCCAAATATCTAACTAAATGTGGTAAAAACATGGATGTACTCTATGCATTTACACCTAAAGGTTTATGTTTCGCCAAGTAGAAAATATTGTGCAATTATTATTATTTGTGTTTGTTTCTCAATGTTCCATTTGTAATGTTGAATTTGACTTCATGGATTCTGCCTGCAGAGTCACTGCAGGACAAATCCAAGTTAATGATTATGAAAGAGCAAGCAACCTTACATCTGTCTGAACAGAGCTCCTCCCCTTTGGTTTACTTGAACTTCTGTATTATGGACTACTGGTATCAGTCACATTGTTTATACTGGTCGAGGCAGCAGATTATAAGAGAAGCTTAACACTTTAGCACAATTAGTTTTAAAAATGAGCAGCAGTCCTCCTCTTGTGAATGTGGGAAACTGGATCACACAGAATGAGAATGCCTTTCTGCCACCAGTGTGCAACAAGCTCATGTGAGTAATTTTACTTTTATTAAAGCCACATTGTTATGTGTGTGTATGTTTTAACTACTTGTGGAGTTCTATTGTCTCTTTGAGGGTATTGAGTATAAGCTTGTCTTTAATACCCTTTTCTTCAGGCATTTCTCCCAGTTGATTATCATGTTTGTTGGAGGTCCAAATACAAGGAAGGATTATCATATTGAGGAAGGAGAGGAGGTAACTGCTTTTTTATTCTGCATACATTTTCTATTTCAAACATAGATGATTGGATGCTAACTTCAAAATCATTTGAGCATCACTGGTCCCAGCCATTCCATATACTCAGTAGTGGGAGATAAGAGAGTAAATAGAACATTTTAGCCTTTGGTTGTGCTTCAAAAAGCTTCTGCCACAAAGGGCAAACTCCACCAGCCACTGTTGTTTTTGACTGAAGTTTACAGAATCAAAGTACAGATGTAGCCATCTAGATGCCCATCTAACAAATTCCAGCCAGAAACCTAACCAATCCCAGTGGCTGATCTATTAATGTGGACCGGAGGGAGAGGGTGACCATAGATATATATAGTGTTTATATATATCTATGAGGGTGACGAGCATAAGTTTCACTTTCCTTTTTTATTTAAATTCCAACTTTGGTCATGAAGAATATATTTCTGTTGTCCACGTTCATAAAGCATAAAACAACAGCATCAGAGCACGGTGCAGAGTCTCTAGATGAGTTTATAGTAGTCCGCAGCAGTGGCGTTTTTATATGTACAAAAGTGGTGGGGCACAAAAAACTTAGATGTCTATAAGCTTCTGCAGTGAGGTTCATGGCTGGTGAGGCACTGGCACTGACTCTTCAGGTTTACAAATATTATATTTTGACCTAAATCAAAATATAATATTATTTTCAAAAGCTTTTTTTGTTTGATGCTTCAATTAATTTTAAACAGACAGTTCAACAAAAGGATACCCACATTTTTTAATTGTATCATTTAAATATTGAATTGTTCTCTCTTAGTAAGATCCCATTTTCAATAAAATGTAAGTCTTACCTTGACTTGAAGATGAAGTCCATTTGCCTATCCCTCTGGACAAAAATCTCTATTACTTTTTTGTAAAAGTCCTCCTTATGTTCTTGTAGTTTCAAAAGTCTATCATAAATCTAATCTAATCAATAGATTTATGATTTAAAAATGATAAAAGTAGGGTAGACATGTGGATATTATCCAGCTGAACAAAACGTGCATTTATCTAACAGGTTTGTTTCCCAAAGATCTTATTTGGAGCTATTTTCTAAAATCCTATGGAGAAATCTCATTGCTTTTTTGTGGAGGGAAGCCATGCGCAGCTTACTTCCGGGTTTTAGGATGCGTCACTGCAGCTCTCTCGTCTCCTCTTCACACACCACACTTTTCGCGGCACACGTACTTACAGCCAATCAGCTCTGAATTATGTGAGATGACGTATGGTGGGGATGGCAGCTCTATGCCCCTATGGTCATTATTTTGTTGCCACACACATTAAATAGGAAAATATTCTGAGCATGCGCAGTGTAGTTTTTACAGTCACCGTTCACTTAGACAGAGAGAGGGAGGGGCAGGATCGGGTTTTGTCCCACATGGCTCTAAACAGCTCAATAGGCACACACTGTAGACACTAATTAGAAGAACACAGACTAAAACAGCAATGTACAGACGAATCAGATGAATAAACATGATCTTAAAATATATTTGATATATTTTTGAATTTATTTTTTGCATTTTTTTGTAATCATTATTTTTAATACTTTCTGCTGACACTAGGTGGGGCTGTGCCCCACCTGCCCCTAATGACCAGTCGCCACTGCGTATTCATGACGTCCGCTGGCGCATCATAAATACGTCGGATAGTGAAAGTGCAGTCGATTCTCAAAGCACCGCAGTCTCTTCTCCTAAATCCTTTTGAATTCTCCTATCCACTATTCCTTAACCCCGTGACGTTTCACACAGAGGTCAAGGAATAGACGATAGTAGCTGATTTTTGGACTATATGGGTCCTTCTCACTTCGGTTAAATGGATTCCTTGCGTACCTCACTTGCGTCGTTTCCCTGCGACTAGTCCCTCCCACCAGGGAAGCATGGAGAGACGCAAGGAAACCACGAGAAGCAGGGAAATGAGTTTTAAGAGCAATGGGATGTCCTTTCCTCCGAAGCCTCACGTGAAGCGACGTCCGTTTGTGATGACGCTGCACAGCTGATCGTCTGACAGCAGCTCTGTCCCCTTTGTTTCCACACACACCCCCGCCTCTGTTGCGGCTTTCACACCAGCGCTTTTCCCTGTCTAGATCCGAGCTAGAGCTTTTCTGGTTCAGCTCCGGTTTCCCTTTTCTGCTCCCGCTCTGTTCACACCGCCCAGCACCCGACTGGTGCTGCCGCTGCTGCGTCATGACGTCACCGTTTACATCGCTGATTTGCTCCCCAACGTAGGGTTGGGCGATACCACAAAATCTGGATTCGATCCGATACCAAGTATTTCAGGGCCAGTATCGCCGATACCGATATCGATACCGATACTTTTTTTTAATGAAAAGCGTCTTATGTACTTTCATATAGGGGAGAGCTGCATGCAGTGGCATAGCTGTGGGTGGGCCGAGGTGGGCCTGGGCCCACCCACATGCACGTCTGGCCCACCCACAGCCAATCAGCGCTGCATAGCACAGAGCCGGCAAGCCCAGAAGGAAGTGCCACAAACTGCAGTTCATCTAGTGGCCGACAGGGGATGGATGCAAAAGGAGCAATTCCCATCGACCCCCATGTTAAAATGCCCAACTTTACAGCAGAAATAAACATGTTTCTAGCCTGGATCCAATCAAACTTATTCTGGATATAGTTAGATTCCACCTTCATGACAATGGAATAGGGAGTGCATTTTTTTACCGTGAGTTTTTATAGTAAGTAAAGTAACTTTTGCCGTGAGTGAATGAAAGTATTATTTCTTCTTGAGGTCTGCAGTTTAGCGTGTACACATTTGCTGAATATGAAAACACTCAGTGTGTGCCCACTGTGCGACTGTAAAGGATAAACAACCTGTGGCCCCCGATATATGTCGTATGTATTATTGCTACACAAACATTACATTGCAGTTTAAGTGCCGCCAACTCCGTTTCTAATATGCAAAAAGACAGCAAAATGCATCTGATTATTTTTAGTATTTTAGATCTTTCCAATCCAGACAAGAGAGATCTCTCCCCCGTCTATGTGCGAGGGGGAAGGGCAGTTTACACACACGCAGCTGCTACATGCAGCAACACACACACACACTGCGGAGATGGCGGAGAGAACGCGCTCCGAGGTGTGGTTAAACTATAGCCGTGTCGATGTGGACAATACTCGTTACCAAAAGTGGAATAAGAGTTTAGCATGTAAGGGCGGTAACACGAGCAATTTGTCAAAACATCTTGCCACCACATTCAGACGGAGAAATGCACCGGGTTCCACTGTATTTCTAGTAGCGCTGTAGCCCCATCCACGAGTAACGTTTCCACGTCAGGTGTTATGTATGCTAGCAGCAACACACAGAGTTTACTACATTATACAAACATGGGTTAATGATTAGAGGAAACTGAGTTATTTATTTTGTTAAAGTTTCAGCTATTCTGTTTACAATTCTGTCATCAGATTATTTAATACGATTTGTTAAAACATTGTTGTTTCTTTTGATGTGAAATATTATGTATTTAATTTAAATAAAAAGCAATGTTAGTTTTGTTCACAATTTGTTTAGTTAGTTTACCTTATTTGTTTCTCCAAAAGAACCGATAAAAGTACTGTTAAAGGACCGGATCGATAAGCGCTATCGATAAAAGTAGTAGTACCGTTAAAACCTTAACGATACCCATCCCTATGTGGATGTCAGTTTTACACACATTCTGAGGCCGCCGTGCCTATATTTTTTGTTTTCACTGCTAATTTATGCTTATGTTCTATTAGTGCATTAAAAAATCATTAAAATCATTAATGAAGTTTCAGCTCAGACCCCACGCTTAATATGTCTCCCCCTGGCCCACCTACATTTCTCCAGGCCCACCCACACAATAATTCCTGGCTACGCCACTGGCTGCATGACATGATTTTTGAGCTGAAATCATCATAAATAGACTAAATCTGAATTCATTTTCATGAATAAAGACAGGACAGTTTTTATAGACAAATACACGTTTTACTTTTGCAAATTTAAAGTGCAAACATGAAAAATAACAATACAAAGTGGCCAAAGTAGCGAACTGTCTTCTTGCACACATCACAGTTCGCTAAGTTTTAATTGCCAGTTGTGAAATTGCTCCACACAACGCTGCTCTTTCTCTCAGCCATCATGCGCGTGTGTGTGTTGCACTCGCGAGTCGCTGGCTGCTGCTGTCCTGCCCTGCTGGCTGCTGTCAGTCAGCTTGATAATCGGCGTTCAGGCAGGGAGCCTCGAGGAGAAGAGGACAGCAGTGGAGAGAGAAGAAAAGAGCATATACTTGTGTTCGTCTGCACATAGTTTTTTGAAGAAATTGACGAGTAGAGGAGACGAGAAAAAAAGTATAACAGTATCGATCCTATTGGCTCTAGTATCGATATTTTGAAACGTAACGTAATATCGGAAGTATCGATATTTTCGGATCGATCCGCCCACCCCTACCCCAACGGCATTACGGCGCTCACAACAACAACAACAACAACAACAACAACAACAACAACAACGGGGAACTGCGTCGGGTCGATGATCGTGTTGCTTTTAATCACACGAAGCCAGAATAAATTGAATAACGACTTCTCCAACCTTATACTTTGCTCCAGAGTGCCGTGGTTCATTGTTTATTAATGTGTTTCTGCAGTGTTGGCTGCTCTTCCACAGGAGTTTATTCTCCTCCGTTAGCTCCCGATTAGCTCACACTGCAGCTCTAAAGTATTCACTGTCCGACTCACACAAGCAGCTGATACATATCCCCAGTTCCCCTTAGCCTAAGTGAATGTGTGTCAGTCTGAATTTACGCTGTTTGGTATCACAACGCTGTTATGAAAGTTTCTCTGGTATAAAATGGGTGATGTTAGCATAGCAACCGAAGCTAAACTGACTTGCTATTGCTATCCTATTGTGGCATAAACCGTTTTCTACAGGCACATTTTACCGGCGTATTTTTATTATGATTCTACTTGTGATAGTCGGACACGACAACCTGTGCAGCCCATGTATTGATTCCATCTGATAGC